TTTTTCACAAACAGCAATGGTATGGGAACACTCCAGTTCGCGAAGAAAGACGACAACTTTATTCACAAAAATCATCGGTTCAACCTTCATCCAAGGTTGCACCACACCCGAGTGAGTTGGACATAGCCAAAACCCACGCGAATCCATCCATTTTGTGAAGAAATACGTCAACTTTATTCACAAACCACCTTGGTCCCTGAAACAACAAATGTGTGATGAAATGGCCCCGCGCAAAATCATTCCTTGCAAAGAACTCTCTCCAGAATACATACCACTTCGACCCAGTTGGCCAGTGTTGGCTGTAGGAAGTTATGTTTTCTTGTTGGTACTTGTTTGATAACACATTCACAAATTCATTGCCGACATGACTTTCTCTTCACAAAATACACCGTGTGTCAGTGCAGCTCTTCACAAAATGATGGTAACCTTGGCAATGTCGACCCAAAGCTAGCAGTGAGACAAGGCATCTGAGACAATAGTAATTGCCTCTGACATAGGTAACCCTGCTTTCCACAGTCGCGTGGCCGCAGAATACAGGGCGCTGTTCCGCTTTGAGCGGAGATAGCGAGCCGCTTCAGCTTGGTTTGGACGGTTTCGGACGAGGCGCAAAGCATTGGGCACCTAGCCGAGCCATGCTTTGGTTGGTGACATGAAGATTCTTGGCATCAATCTTTTGTAGGTGCTTGCGATTCTAGTGAGATAGAGGTTGCTTGTGGTTGGGACAGCACAAACATGATTTGAAGTTACACAACACGTGTTCTGATTCTGAGTTTGAGACCGCTTCAAAGTCTTGGCCTCGATACCTTTCGGGCGCGCGCACAGCAGGACCAACAGCTGGCCCTCGATTTGGAAGAGCCCTCAGCAAGCCGTGGAGTCGTTCAAGTCGCTAGTTGAATTGACAAGCAGCACAATGTATGATTAAAGATGATTAAAGGATATTAAAGGGTCACTAAAACTGGGTAAGACAGCTAGGAATCACACCAGCTGACATCCAGCAGCGGCTCATGAGACATTACATTGTTTGCAATGTCTTCCAATGCTTGGGCAGCGGGATGCATATCAAAAGGGTATGTTCCTCGCAAAGAAAAGGGTATTCAGAAAAGAAACATGACTCCATCGCGCTGAACCTTCTCCAACAAAACTTCTCCAACACAAGCGGTCGCTTGACAATTGCTCAGGCCGAAACTCATCAGCGCGGCATACTTCCTGAAGCTGCTAGCTTCATCGTGGCTGACGGTCTTGGGCTCGATGAAGACTGACAGGAAACCGGCTTGTTGCAGGAGTTGGGTGCAGAATCACTGTTTTGATGTTTTGAAAGCAATTTTACTCTAGACAATCACAAAAGGGAGCCTGGCGGAGACCCAACACATCGGTTCGCCACATCAAAAGGCAGGAACAACATGGGTGTCCCTTGCCAATGCACATCGCTCATAAACCTTTCGGTCCTTCGATTGACCGCGTACGCAAAACAATGATCATCATTAGCGCACTGCTTTTTTGACAGTCCTCAAGATCACATCCGAGGGATGCGCATTGTACCCAGTCTTCCGCCAAAACTCATCGTTGACGGTGTTCCGAGGGATGCCTGGCAGCTTTGGGTACGCTGGCCAGGTTGCCGCAATCTTGGGTGGTGAACGCTGCCAAGTCCATAACACTAGCTACATTTGGCAAAGAAAACTGCATCTAAGAATTGTTTCTAAGTCACTCGATGACTTTTCAAGGATGTTGAATGGAAGAAGCCCAATTATAATGAAGTGAAACGGACCCCAGAAGCTATATAGCACAAGGTACATAAATCTGAGACGCGGTCGAATCGGAAGAGATGTGGCGCCCCAGGGCCACCACAGCCAGTCAAATGACAGTGAGCAAAATTCTCGGAGAGAAACAGTTTCCTCAGCTGCATCGAATTTACGGCGTTCAAGAGATTTGCACTAATTACCGCAACCCCCCCTGAGATGTACAAGAGTCCAGTCGCGATACTGGGTGACATAATTGACCTGGCGATGCCGCTGTTCTAAAGGACGCCGCTCCTTGTTGGACAACCACTCTTGGAGGCAATCTCGAAACTGTTCAGGGGTCCACAACTCCTGATGGGAAGCCAGCCAAGAACGAAGTAAGGAGAACATGGCATCGATGTCCTCGTGGCTGTGGCCACTTGAGAGGAAACCAAGTTCTCCAGCTTTGATTTTGGATTGTGATACCCAAAGGGCCATGGCCCTAAAAAGGGTATTATTTTTGGCTTCTTTCGTGCAGTTGTCTGCTTGCAGACTGAGCACGCAGGACCGGAGATCCACGGAGCGCCCCAGCATTGTGAGCCCATTGGCAACCAGTTCGCAGGATCGACTGCTGTTGGCCGTGCAGTGATGCGGTGAAAGGTTGATGGATACGCTGTGCCCATGAAGTATCAGGGTGGTGGATGTGAGTCGTGGTCGGTTGAAGGAAGCGAAGTCTTTGCTATTCATAGTCTTGCTACGTGGCCACGAGTGTTTCTGGGCATCCATGGAGTCGATGATCCCGCTGATGCAAAACACGCATGGGTGATTTCGCTGTAACCTGGATTGCGCACGTATATCCCAATATGTTTGTCGATCGCGGTGTTGACGGGATAAATGGCGCTGAAGCAGGTCTTCCTGAACACGCCTCGCAGCAGGACAGTGTCCCAACCGACGCAGGATGAGTCTGTGTCTGATACATTGCGAGCACTTACTGTGGTGTTGGGCAAAGCGTATGCGTAGTTTCCCATCAAAGTCATCCTGCCAAACCTGAACACATCCCAAAAGCATTGGTGTCGGGCTTACACATTCACGCATTACGCACTGGGAACTAAGAAAAGTTATGTTATTAAGACAGGCTACTGCAGTGAATAGTTTTTTTGCTCACGCTGAGATGTGGCAAAGAAGCTTTGCACTGCAGGTAGTACTCGTGTATTGATCCCGGAGGAAGATGTTTTATCTGCGAACGATCCATCTG